AGTTTTGTGGGTTTATTGGCAGATTGAATCACTGCCTGTCTTTAAGTCTCGATGACAGATCTGAGCATTAGGCTTTGTCAGAGTTCACAGACATGATAACACTAGTTATTGCATGCAAAGTTTGCAATGGGCAATTCCTGATTCCGGGTGCTGCTTCTATCTGACCCTTCTGGGTGTGCCAGATTCCTGGCCCCCCAATGGGCACTTTGATTCTACCAACTAGCCACTACATCACCGAAGAGTTTTGTAGTGACGTGGCAGACAGCAGGGGACCAGGTATCTGACACACCTGAAAGTGTTGGATAGCAGCAACTCCCGGAGTTCTTCAAGAGAGAGGAGATTCTACTCACCATCTGCTAGGAACAGTAAGTATAATCATCTCCTTTTACAAGGTGACTTTGCTTTATTTTTTATTCTGGTGACAGGGTCTCTTTAACATTTTGCCCTAATTAGACAAAGTGACAACACCTGTTTTAGCAGGAACAGGAATGCACATTTCTTGATGTAAAAATGTTAGTCGTGCCAAAAATACATTACAAATAAAGTGTGTTCCTACCAAAAATAAATCAGGGCTTATTTATTATTTACTAGTCCTTTATTTGTAATACATCCCACAATAATTGTTAAAAATTGATTTTTTTCCTTGCTGTGGGCTACAGTAAAGTTTTCTTTACTTGCATTATATTACCTAAGCCCAAATTTGTAACCAAAAGAACAACATTCTAGATGGTAAGCTTCCGTGAGCAGGACTGATGTATGATGCGATGCCATGAAATAAGTAAACCCTCTATAACCATAGATAATAAATAAATACACATGCACATATGCGAGAGTAAAATATAATTTATTTAAAATTTTAATAGTTGTTTATTACACATTTTTTAGAAGAAAACGTCTCACAGACAGACATATTAAAGGATTTTGATAAATGTTAATTTAGCTAAAATACAAGGAGCTCATAAATTAAATGCAACTGGTACAAATTGCCAGTTCTAAAGGAAATGGAATTAGGTTCTGAATCCTTAAAGCTAACCTGTGGTTACATTTATTCCTAGAAACAGTTTGACATTAGAGCAAGTACCAAATTATTGTACAGATGCCTGCAGAGTACATCTGGAGTCCCCTAGAACAACCTATGTAAATATTGACTTCCAGAAAGTCAGGGTATGGGTATGTCTACCTCCCACATCCCAGACTTAACTGCTCAGTACCTGGGTGACCTACTGGAAAGCCCAACTATTGCCACTTAGAAGGCACTCAGTGTATGATTATGTGTCAAGTCTCAAGAAGTCAGTATTTGTAAAATTGCTTTAGGGTGTCTCTGGAGATTCTCATCAGGCATGTAGAGTAAAATATCCTGGCACCATATTGTGTTACCTCCAGCCCCAATCCCACAATGCAATGCCCAGAGTGAAGGTGAACTTTCCTCAGGCGTATACATTTCTATGTCTATGGATATGCAAATAGCAAGTCTATTAAAAAAAGTATAGCAAGTCTATACTAAAAAAGTCAAAATTTTCATAGGCACTTCAGGAGGCTGAAGGGCAGTGCTGGAGGGGCACATCATTGTGAGTGTCAGCTACCAGAAGTATTTCCTAGGATATACAATCAGAGCCACAGGTGTATTTTACATTAGAAATAGTGAGCAATGCATGATTATGTGAAATAAAACAGTCAACACAAATAAAAATAACATTTCATTTTGTTTCCCTAGTTACTATATATGTGAGTAATAATATGCTGTGAATATTAAAATCAGATCGCTTACTGAAGGCATCATGAGCTGCAAAGTCCTGTGACCCCTCAGCTGCCCCCCTAACCACCGATGCCTCCCCATCCTTTCATCTTAATGGGTTTTATTTAACCTTGTACTTTTATTTTATCTTGTACTTATACTTTACCTTGTACTTGGCCATACAAAGTAAAATAAACATACACGGTAAATTTTGGGTGTTTTTGTGCCCCTTGTTACCCTGTTTCCCGTAACACAGACCCATGATTGCCTGATGCCTTAAAATTCCCCTAGGATTATTATGAAAACAGTTGGCTGAAGTAAACACAGCCTTCACCCTTAAGTGGTACCCTTAGGTTGTTCATTATTCCTCTTCTAGATGTTACTTAATATAAGTAATGTGTGCAGAGAGCCTGCAATATTGGTCACTAGCTCTTTGTTTCTGCGTGTGTTTTCTCTAGAACAGCCTCCACACTGCAGAACTAGTTCAGAACTGAGTCCCCTTCTCACTCCTCCCACTGTTGTGGCCCTATCCATTCCTATGGATGAGCCATACTCCACTGGTTGTTTAGATGACTCTACAAGTATGGTGTACCCATAAGACTGAATAAGGCAGCAGCAGCAGCATGCATCACATGGAAAGTATGGGAAACAGCATAGGAATGCAGAATAAGCCCCTCTGTGCTGTTTTCTAGTGTCCACACTTTCCTAGTTATTCACTGCTGGACTGTCCTGCTAGTGAGAAGACTGGGTGGGGTGTTATATTGTAGGGTTAGTGGTTATTAGTGGCAGAAAGTCCAGTAGACAGCACAGCGTCTATTTCAATCCACATCCACTAAAAAGTATATGTTAAACAGTTTTATAATCTGCAGAATATTCCTTAAAGCTTATTTTCCAGTTGGCTATCAAATTAAATTGTTAGTCCACCTAAAATTAATATTTCAGATTTAGGTACTGTAGATTAGGGATGAGCCGAACACCCCCGTGTTCAGTTCGTATTTGAACCGCCGAAATGTTCGAGTACGAACTCGAACTCAAGCAAGTGTATGGGGGTCGAATGTTTTTTTTTTTTCATATCATGGAGAATATATGAAGAACGGTAAGAGGACACCAATGTGGGTTTGAACATATAGGGCGGGCACAAATACAGTCAGGAACTATGGTTGATTCAACCAATTGTAGTTAACTTATAACTAAAATATCACTTTTGACTGGACTGATATTTTTTTTACCTTTATCTTTGTATACTTAAAGGGAGAGTATATTGCTTTTTGGTCAATTTTCTTTTCTTTTTTTTTATATTTGTTTTCTTTTAATGTTTATAAAATAATACAATAATATATAAAATAATAATATTTTAGCATAATTTGTTTAAAATCTTTTTTCCCCCCAATAAAATAGCATTTATTATGGGGAAATTCCATGATGCTCAGTCTGCTAGGCTTGGTAGGCTTTCTAAATGAAAACCTAGCACTACCTACATGCTTGTTGACAACTCATGTATATTGACTATACCAGATCAGTTGTATCGGTGCTGGCAGAGAGGAAGGGGGTGCCTTTCCTGTGGGTCATTCAGTTGTAATGTATATGTAATCAAATGTCCAGATATTCGGGGGCTAGTACCAACATAGAAATAATTAAGATTTAAAAAAAGATGATAATGTGGCCTAAAGCTCAACACCTGCAAGAGGTGAATATAGAGCATTCATATCCAACCGTTTATATTTAACAATTTAAAAAAATATTTGTTCAGTCCTGCACATTATCAATAAATAAATGAATAAAGAAGCAACTAAAATGCATACAAATATACTATAAATTCCCTTTAAAGTTTATGGCTATTTATTCTTTGCTGGTTTTGAACCGGTGTTCGACAAATAAAATGCGATCCTGCCATGGAATGTCAAATTCTGCAGCCCTAAAACTTGGACAGCAATAGTGGCAAAGACCTATGAGTACAATCCTTGCACTATTAATTCTAATGAAAGCATCTTATATGTTGCAAGGGACACTGGGAAACCAACGCAATCATTTCATTGATGACCTCAAACCACAACACAACTCCAGCTAAAATATTTCTCTTTTAGTTTTTGGTAGACTTGGGAAGAGCAAATACTTTGGTCACATTTTTATTGCTTTCCGAGACCCCATTGGAAAGGGTTTACCTTCCTTACTTCCGTCCTTGTGATAGCAGCACAAGAAATTAGGGAGTGGTTGTCATTTTGACAAGAAGACGCCAGAAAATAATAATAATTTGATGCTAGTAGTAGCCACTCCCCATTTTGTGACTAAAAAAAGCTGTTTTTTTGGGGGGGGGGAGTGCTGGTGACATTTACAGTATATATGGTCAGAATTGTGAGAAATGCCACCCACAATTTTTAGGACCCTTTATAGTATGGATTGCACCAGGTTTCATCTTTTTTAATATTCCTTGTGAGGACATACTTTAGGGTGAATGAATTAAAGAACTAGAAACCTGACAAATCATTTTCCTTCCCTGCTCTAGCTAAAACCTAAAAAAAAAATAGTTTGGGCTTGAATTAGGCTCTATCGCAAAAGCAAAATGGGAGCTGCCAATGCTGACCTTCTTCTGCACAATGCCACCTGTTTCTTCTGCAATCCGATATGTCCTAGTGTGCTGGAGATAGAGCCCTCCATGCAGCAAAGCAAGCTCCATACTGATTAAAGGGCTCTGGTTCTGACTCATAGGGAGTGTGTAGCACCACAGTAGAGAGAGTTGTTGCTTTACACACAGTAGTTAGGGTCTGCTATGTGACAACTGGGGTCAAACTCTTTAGGATGGCGGGGGGATGCTTTACTGTCTTAATGAAAGGTAAGGTTCTGCTAACTTACCAATGCAAAAAAAATAAGCTATTGGCATAGTTTTCTTTTTGGGAGGGTTTAAGAAGACTTTAATCATTTCTGAGTTTCTGAACCAAAACAAATATGCAGATCAGTAAAAGCAGACAATAGTAGGAACTCATTATCTGCTTTCTTTTATTGGCTCAGTGAGTCAACTTGGTAAAGCTAGAGGGTCAAAATGGCAGACAGGCAGCAAACTGGCATATTCAGATAGAAGTCAGCAATGGCATCCTCCATGATCTTAGTTTCCATTGCAATAAGTAAAATGTAAAGGAGAAAAAGATGGGCTTTTCCAAAACATATAAAGTGCGGAATTCTATAAGCATGTCTGGACACCTCACACTACCTGCAAATAAGGAAGCAGAAAAAAAAATGATACACAATATACAAAACAAGACGCCATGATTTACCAAAAATCATCTCCGCCACTGCTTCTCGTACTTGCTCGCTCTCTGGTTTTTAGTCGTAACATCTCCATGATACTTTTGGCATAAATGTCTCGCAGATTCACGTTTATATCCGACTCTGTACTTATGTTTTTCATGAGTTTCTTCACTGCTTCCCTCTGTCTCAGTGCGGCTTCCTTCATCTTTAGCATAAAGTAACAAGCAGCAAAGCGGTCATTAATAATGGCAATGGGCAAAGCTAAGACTAAAATCCCCGACAAAATACACAGGAAGGCAACTATTTTACCAAACGTGGTGTCCGGCCTGATATCGCCATAACCGACAGTTGTCATTGAGGTTGTCGCCCACCACCAGGCACTTGGTACACTGGTAAAGGTTGTGTCAGGGACATTATATTCAACAGCATACTCCAGTGCAGAAAATATAGAAATACCCACTGACAGGAAGAGAAGTAACAGACCAACTTCTTCATAACACTGGGCGATCGTCAGTCCTAAAGACTTCAACCCTGCAAAGGAATAGCAAAACGGTTATTTGATAAATATTAATTCATGTATATTATACCGCTATGTGGTTCACAGAGGACACTTAAATATTCATATCAGTCCCTCCCATAAAGGAGCTTAACCCCTTCATGACTGAGGCCCTTTTTTCAATTTTTGCACCCATGTTATATTCCACATTTTAGGCCTGAAAATGACGTAAAACCCCCCAACATTATATATTTTCTGAATGCCAAGACCCTATAGAATAAAATGGTGGTAGTTGAAAATTTTTATGTTGCGCAATATTAGCGCAACTCCTTATTAAACCCCAAAATTTAGTGACAAATTTAATTAAATGCCCCAAAACACAAACAAATGTTTAATAATGACAATCTACAAACAGATTCTTATAGATAATTGCCGGCTTTGTATTGTTTGCATCCATTATTTCTCTTTCCTTCCCAAGTCTTCTGACAGTGGCCATGTTTACTAAGTGCAGATTAATCCATCTCCCTTTACTTCCTGGAACTCTTGGGCATGATTACATAATTTGTGCCAAAGTGGGCTAGGAAGTGGATGAACTATATTTGTAAGTAAATGGAAAAACCTGTTTGTTTAACTAGGGAATGCAATATGATTTTATATCAGCATCCAGAGCTGCATGCTGCTGTGATTTTTAGTGAAAGCGGGGAAAAGGTCCACTTCAAAGTGACCTATGCTGTTGCTTTTGATATCCCATCTACAGTACCTATCTACAGAGGCTGTTGTAAGCTCTTTATTGCTTACTATTTAATGTTACAGCTCTCTATCAATTCATAGATAGCATCTGTCAAACTCTGTGTAAACTTTACTTTCAGTCAGGCTGAATATACTGATATCATCCTGGTTGGCTGGAATCATTTTATTTTTCCACTGGCCAAGGTCATCAGACATTTGGCCACTTTTAAGGAGAAGCCAAATAAATGACCACAACAAGAGAACATGCAGAAAACTAATTCCAATATAGGTAGAAAAGAATGGCCCTGGTGATAACTGAAACAAGGATTGCAGTGCTTCGATGTGAATACTACCTCAGTCACATTTTGTCAGGGCGCAATCAGCACAAGACATTTGATTGCAGTGATTTCAGCAACAAGAGGAAATGTAAACTTTTCTGTAAGCATATGTGCACCCTAACACCTTGCCAATCTATCCCCCTAACCTTAACACTTAACCTGCCTCTAAAATAACCCTGATCCTTAAACCTCCCTGATAACCTAATTATGAATATGGATACTTAAAACTACCCTAAAAGTTATCATTAAACTGCAAATCTCTCCTCCCCTAGCAAGCCCCCCAAGTCTGCCAATTGTCTGTCCATGATTCATGGAGATCTTCACTGTGGGACTGAGATCTTCACTGTGGGACTGCTGGGTGCCACACAGCTACTTAATGGAAACTCTTCCAGCCAAGAGGGAATGCACAGTGGATTCCCCAATTCATCCCAATGAAAAACTGTCAGTTGGCCTCAAGAATCAATCATGAAAATGAAGGGAATCTTCTAAAGAGTTTCCATGAAGAGGCTATGTGGCACCCTGCAGCCACACAGCAAAGATCTTCATGGATCTGCAAAACCATCACAGATACAACCACCACCAAGGGGCACTAAACCCAATCTTTCTAAATCAGGTCCTTAAAGGTTTCTAAGATCTCGCCCAGCTGCAGTGACAAATCAGTAGATATAAACATACTTTATCTGTATCCACTACCCTACGTCACAATCTAAAAATCAAAAATACAACTATGGGTGGAGGGTTGGGACTGCTCATCTGACGATGCATCACTCATCTGGACAGTAGGTCTCCCTAAGCTCCTGACTCCACCTTCATACTTCTCCCACAACTCAGAGCTCTAATTAGGGTAAGTGTTTGACTCAACACACCTCATCTTTCCCTGTTGTCAACCTACTGTGGCTCTAATCCTCTCAAACACTTTTGCGTAGTCCTTCTCAAGCTCTAGGGCTGGCGTTCCTATTACTGCAGCAGCATAAACTTTGCAGTTTGTAGACATAATAATAAATATATAAAGATCCCATTGGGTTTTAAAACACAACTATGTTAATTGGAGTACGGCGCTACAAACTACATTCTAAGTATAAAGAATGCTATGGCTCAAAAATCTGCTTTCTTGCTGGGCGAACTAAAAAACATATAACCTGTGAAGCCCTTACTTCAAATACTTTGCATTTTTATTCTATGCTCTGCTGAATATTGATACATATGTATTTCCTTTTGACCGTGTTCTGCCACAGACCTGCTCCTATGGGAGGCTGACGAGAATTTTAATAACTGGCTGCCTGTGGCATCAGTGTTGCAATAACAGGGAAGGTTAAAGGATGAACAAATGTATTTAATAATAATTATTTTCCTCATATATTACTGTTTTGCAGTCTCATGAGTAGCAGTGTGGAAGAAATGAATGCATTTTAATTATTTATGTTTGTGGCTATGAGAAATGTGTTATAAGTTGAACTTTATTAGTTTGTGTTATAAGTTGAACTTTATTAGTTTTTTTTAAAGAAATTATAAGAAAGGGCTATATGTACTACTGCTGAAATTTAAATGTGTTTTGAATTGTCATTATTTAAAGGTCTAGATCATCACAAAAAATATATGTGAGATAATATGGGTCACATTACGATTTAGCTAATTGATTTTCGATTGTCTTGTCTTTGGTTTTACTAAAAATACACCTAAAGGCTAATTCAACCACTGATCATGTTTCATGTTACACCCATATTTGGGGTTAACATAAAACATGATTAGAGGTGATGAAACATGGTGACAGTTGGCAACCCCTAAACCCTATTAATATTATACAGGATTTATATACCGCCAACAGCTTGCGCAGCGCTTTACAATATAAGAAAGACATTACAGTTTCAATTCAATTCAAGACAAGATGGTAAGGAGGGCCCTGCCTGTGAGAGCTTACAAACTGAAAGGGAAGGGCCAGTGATACAAAAGCTGGTAGCTGTGTGGGAATGAGGTGTTTGAGAAAGTGATAGTTTAGTGGTTAGGTTGAGGTGGAATAGGCTTCCCCGAAGAGATGAGTTTTCAGGGTTTGCTTAAAGACAGACAGAGTAGGAGATAGCTGGTGTAGGGATCTATAATTTTTCAAATTCTCCTCCTACACTTTTGTGATCTGTTAGGGTAGATTAGTCAGCTTAGCTGTGCTGGCTTGTGTTCTCTAAATGTGCAGTGATTATTCTTGGTCACATGCTGTGTTGGGTGTCCACCAGCAGGGTGTGCTATAGATAACACTCCACATGAAGGATGTTTAATGCCTGGCCAATCAGTAGGACTGGGTAGCCCGATGTGCATACTAGGAGAGCTATTAAATATCTGAGGCACTTCCTGGCACAGTCTCTTTCCCTCCAGAGTTTCCCCCTGTGAGGATGCCACAGTGATTCACTAAACTAGGCCCCAGGCCTGAGGGCCTAGGAGAGCTACATGTTGGATGTGTTCAGAGAGAAAAAGAACTTTGCTGCCTGGACTGTTTTTCCCAGGGAAGGTGATCCCCCATTCGAGCTATACCCCCACAATATATATATATATA